GTTTGCACGAGAGTCATCCCATATTCCAGATGTAATACGCCCGGAACGGCGTCGTCTTTGGCCCCATTGGTGGGCATACAACAACTTTGTCCGACATTTAGCTACTACCTTACCCAGGCCTCATTATTTAAGGTAAATATCTTAATTTCCTATATTAGCTTAATTAAGATATCTCAGTCGTCTGCATATACTGTATATAGCATCCATCAGTCATTTTGAAGGATGAGCTTTACATGGGTGGTGTACGGGTTCGGGGCAAGTCAATCCATTACGTGTCGTCATCATTGTCATCGTCTGCTTGGGGCACTGGGTTGGGCCCAGCAGCTTGAACTGCTTGGCCTGGAAGATACCCTCGAGCGACAGGTCGAGGAGGTTCATGCGCAACTCGTCCTTCTTTCATTTCAGGATGCTGAAGTCGGACTCCACCGAGGTTGTCTTAGCTAACACGAACGCCATTCCCGAACAGAAGCGGCGCAGCTGTGAGAAGCGCGCCCTGCCAATACAATTCCAGCCGTCGTTGAAATTCGTTTTGTTGCAGTGTGCATCCATGAAGGCCTTGATGCCGGGTTCGTCCTTGTACGCCTTGACCAGGTCGCGATGATCCTGGTCGATGGAAGCGACGTCGTCTGCGCTGAAGACCACATACCGGTAAGGACTTTACTGGTATGTGGTCGAACTCTTGGCAGTGTGGAAGGATTATACAGTATTGCAGCGTGTATACCGTACTTCGTACTACTCTGGTCCGGTATGTTTGTCACATTTGACTTTGGATTGGCGGAATTTTTCTAATATTACGAGTTTCGTCGATTTTATTGGTCCATCAGAAAGCGCAACATCTCCTCTTTGATTGGATGCCATTTGCGTCATCCAAAGCGTTTTGCATCCTAAATAATGACCCGCCAAAGTTGGCGGGTGTCAGTGGTCGGTGGGAGTTTGACCCGCTAGTGATTCATTTTTGCATTTACTGCCGATCAACGACTACCAGGGCATACCTATAGTCGCACACATGCCCGCACCTGGTTTGCGCGACCTCTGCAACATCTCTGCTGGTGCATCGGGGCATCGGAACCTCACCGCCGACCAACGTTGGAGCATCTACGATTGTCTCCTTGCGATGCCAGTCAAAGGGCGGCTGCCACACGGTGCATTCCAAAAGCTATGTACAGTGTATGGCTGCCATTGGCGTACTGTATCTCGCATTTGGACACGAGCTGTGGACTCTCTTGCTCAAGGCGCCGGCATCGCCGACACCGCCGCCAAAATCGTCGGTAATATCTCTATAATATGATATTTTCCCCCACATCTACAATTTGTCATGGTTATCATTTCTTACGGTATGCTGTTTAAGGTAACTCTGGACGAAAACTGACACGACGACACGACGACATCGAGGCGGCCATTCGTTCCGTTCCCCACCACCAGCGCCAGACACTGAGGTCCGTCGCGGCACACTCTGGCATCCCCAAGACGTCCATCGTGCGGCACATGAAAGCCGTTACGCGGCTCAAGGCCCGCTCAAGCTACGTCAAGCCCTACCTCACCGAAGCCAACCAGCGTACAAGGCTCGAGTT